CAAGTCGGGCGCTAACATTAAGAGGTAAACCATTGCATAATTTCGGAGCTGTAACAGTAAAAGCACGGTCACCCCAGCATGTGTATCTGGCCTTGGGAACCTCTAAAAGAAACTGGCTTGATGATCTGAGCAATCTTGTAGGTTCGTGCCACCTCACCAACTCAGCAAGATAGGGTGGTGCCAAACCATTAAGAGCCTTAAAAACAAAAATCAATAGCTTAAAATGAATTCTAAAATGAACTGGAAGCCAGTGAGGAGAGGCAAGTACCAGAGTTATATGGTCAAATTTCCTAGTACCTGTTAAAAGATGAGCAGCAGCATTTGGAATTTACTTAACAACCTCACATGAAAGAAACTAGATTTTACAAATGTCTATCAGTTTTTAATAACGCTGACTCATTACTGTGATTGGATTTAAACCCAAGCTGAAATTGCTCCTCAATGCCATTATCTGCCAGAAAAGACGAGTTGAATAAGAACAATCTTCTCTGAAACTTTCGACGTAAAAGATAATTTAGACACTGATCTAAAATTAGAAAACACTGAAGGATCTAGATTTGAAAAAGTGGCTGGACAATTGCTTTTTTAAAAGCATCTGGAACTGAGCCTGTAGTCAAGCATAAATTAATTACAGCCAGAAAGCTAGGACCTATAGACTGAAAAGCATCCCTGAATAATCTTGTTGACAGGCAATCCAGAGAACAGTAAGATGTTTTCATGTGTAAAACCACTTCTGATAACGCAGGCAAAGAAACAGTCTCAAATTGGTCAAAAATAGCAGAAGGCAGGGGAAGGTCAGCTGGGTCAAAAGAAGTGATACTGGAGAATTGCCTAATGCTAGCAATTTTGTTAGTAAAATGTAGAAAACCCTGGATGAGAGGTAAGGTTACATGGGCTAATGACAGAATTAACTGTAGTGAACAAAACCTGAGGTTTGTGACGATTACTGACCACAATGTTAGAAAGATGGTTCGATTTGGCAGATTTGACCACCTTCTGATAATCCGACAAACAGTCCCTGAAATGGCGAAGAGAAACAAAGTTTATCCTTCCATTTATGTTCAGGTTTACGACATCTTCATCTATGTTCCCAAGTTAAGTCATTTAACCAAGTTTCCACCTTTGGCTTAGCCAGTCTACATCGGAGGGGAGCAATGGAATCCAATATATCCTGACAGGTGGAGGTTATTAGACTTAATACTTCCTCAGGATCCATGTAGGAGGACACATCCCCCATCAGATACAGATGATGAATTTTTAAAGCAAGTAGAAAACTCT